TCACACGCTGACTCTGACTCTAATGATCAGGTGGCTCCCGCTGCCGTTCCTGAGGAGCTGGGAGGAAATGACATCATCGGAGAGTGCTCCGGACAGCAGTTCCAGGTGTCCCGCCTCCTGCTGCACCTAAGCTCCGCCCTCGGCCCCGCCTCCGACGTGCTGCTGGATCCCTATCTGCTCTGCTGGGAGGAGCTCATCAAGTATGACATCAGTACAGCAGGAAATATAATAAGGATGCATCCATATGAGCCTTTTTTGATGGATCACCAAATATGCTCAAAAGAAGGGTTACAAAAAGATGCACTTTTCATGCACTATATTCCACAAAAATGATGTTGCTTTAACGCACATCTCCATGTGCATAAGCCTTCTGCATTGGAGCCTTTCATTCTGAAGATCATTTAAGTTTAGTCTATTGATATATGCGTTCTATCATTTGTGATGTGTCTAAAAAACGACATACATTCCAAAGAAATGCTATTTATAGTGTGTATATATTTATAAGGCAATAACCGTCATGATACGTTTTAAGAACGTTAACACACATGTAACACAAACAGTAGATTTTTTAATTCAAAATATGTAGCAGTAAGATGTGTACACTCGCATTCACATTCAAAGTTTTGAATGAATTAAATTAATATTAAATTAAATATTTTGGATAAATTAATATTGGATTGGATAAATTTAGGATGAATTCATATTTTGGATTAGTTTTTGTTTTTATGTTTTTTCTGCTTCTCTTTTAATTTTTGTTAAAGTTTACTTAATTTCGCTGTGCTTTGTCGCTTTATATTTGTATTCATTTTTATTTCAGTGTCTTAGTTATTTTAGTGCATCAAGTTAAACTAAATGAAAATGAGAAATATTTCCTTGGCAACAAGCTAAAATAAAATAAAAGTAAGTTTTTTATATATTTTTTTAATTTACATTTTTATTTGTAGTTTTTATTAACTATAATAAATCTTGGCTATTGGCTAATCTCTCTCTCTCTCTCTATGTTGTACCGTTTTCTCTTTAATTATAATGAAGCAATGTGTAGTAGCAGTTAACAAGGTGTAGCTATTTTAAACCGATTAAGAAAAAAAAACAGTTTAACTGTAATCAGATCGGTATCGGCAGATAATCGGTTGCGTGTCTGCAGTGAAATCGGGATTGGTCGGTCTCACACACTGATTGTGTTCTGTGCTGCAGGTTTATGGAGGCTCTGGGCCCTCTGGTGGGCTTTTTCACTCATAAAGTTGAGGAGAAGATCACACTCATCCGACAGCTTTCGCTGGAAGAATCCGCCAGACTGAACGCAACAGCCGATGAGCGTGTAGCCCCGCCCCCTCCACACGCCTACCGCTCCGTGCGATCCATGCTGGAGGTGGAGCTTCAGAGGGGCGTGGTCTCCTTCGACATGCAAACGCCCTCCGGCAGTCGGACTTTGCTCCGCCTCCACCGCTCGTTGCTATGGCTACAGCTGCTGCTGGAGAGGCTGGGGACGGAGCGCGAGGAGCGGAGCCTGGGCGAGCTTTGCCGTGATGCGTACCTGGAGGTTTTAGCGCCGCATCACCCCTGGCTTGTGCAGCGTGCGGCGGAGCTGGTGTTTCACGCGATGCCCGACCGCAGTGCATTCCTGCAGCTGGTGTGCGTGCGCACGCAGGAGGAGGCGGAGCCTGTCATGCGCATCGTCGTCGCAGCAATCCGCGAAATTCACCGACGGACTCAGAAAGAGCTGGAGATCAGAAACATGTTGGATCTGCCTTAACACACACATACAAACACTCCCGCGCAACACGAGAAGGATTCTGATGATGCTTTAAAAATGTGTAATATAGCCTATTTATCTATTAATATTCTAATGTAAGAGCGGCTATTTGTAGCTTGACTGTGTGAGACTTCACGTGTCCTTCATGTGTCCTGACCATAGACTGATTAAAACATGGACATAGTGCCCGAGACGTCACCCGTAGATTTCCGAAGAGCATTTTTGAAGCTCAAAAGTGGGCGGAGCCGGCCATCGCCATCTTGGAAGTGCGTCACTCCCAGATAATCGAAAATGGGCAAAGAGGCGGGAACTGGTTGCTGAAGCCACGCCCACCTAGCTCGACAGTGGTGACAGCGGCGGCAATCCACCTGTCACTCAAGTGGCCACGCCCTTAATTATGCAGAACTTTAAGGCTAATATAATTTAAACGGATGAGTTATAAACAAATTCACCCGCCTCACAGGGCAAAATGAGATAGTGAATTGGTGGGTTTTTGTTAAATGTGAGCCAAAATCATCACAATTAAAAGAACCAAAGACTTAAACTACTTCAGTCTGTGTGCATTGAATTTATTTAATACACAAGTTTAACAATTTGAGTTGAATTACTGAAATAAATGAACTTTTCCACAACATTCTAATTTATTGAGATGCACCTGTATACAGACCAAAATAATTTTTTGAACCAGGCTGTAAACATGTTTTTTTCTGCTGTAAAGTTGGGCTTTTTAACATGGGGAGTCTATGGGACTGCCTCTAGCGGCCAGTTGATGAATTACAGTTTAAGTCACTTCCGTGTTGGCTTCACAAGAGAGAGCGGGAGGTTGCCGCTTGGTCCTGACATTTTATCCTAGCCTCCAGATTTTCTTTCCAGGGATTACTGCGCATGCGCACATCAATATTGCATAATTTTTCTCATGCTGAACAATGATAATTACTGTATTTGCATTACTGTAAGGGGTAGGTGTAGACGTTAATAAACCATAATTTGACAGGTAGCATTCTTCGTTGTCAAACTGTACTACCTACTTTTTTTAATGGGAGGTAGCAAAATCTGACAGGGTTTTCACAGACGCAAATCGACAGTTATTTTACCTGTAGCCTACAAAACAGCTCGTGCTTGATATTGCAGACTGGCATTTTGTTATTATATTATATTAATTTATTATCATATTCATGAAAATGCTGGTTTGCACTGCAGTGCAAATAGTTTTACCGTTTACTGCACGGTTATTCTCCTTATAGCGGCTAACGGACCGGAAGTCTCGCACATTCACAGAAAATCGCTTACTTCCATGTTGCAAAATAAGGTGGGTATTATGTATCCTAATATATAAAATTTGTGTGATTCTGTTATGTTTTTACATTTTTATTAGTGCTGGGCAATGATTGATTAATCGCGTCCAAAATAAAAGTTTTTGTTTATATAATACAGTGTATATTTATTATGTATATATAAATATACACACACATACAGTATATAGTTTGAAAATATTTACATGCATTTATTTACATCCATAGCATTTATATTATATTTAAATATATTTCATATAAACGACATGTTTTTCTTAAATATATACATGCATGTGTGGGTATTTATTTATACATAATAAATATACACAGTACACACACATATATACACTCTCAGAAAAAAAGGTACAAATGTTGTCACTGGGGTGGTACCTTTTCAAAAGGCACACCTTTGTACCTAAAGAGTCCATATTTGTACCTTAAAGGGGCATATTAGTAACTAAAGTGTACATATTAGTACCTAAAAAAGGTACACAATTGTACCTTTTGAAAAGGTACTGCCCTAGTGACACCTTTTGTACCTTTTTTTCTGAGAGTGTATAAAGAAAAACATTTCATTTGGATGCAATTAATCGTCGACCAGCACTAATTTCTATATGTTCTTATGGGAAATATTGAGTGATTTTGGCCCTTGCACTGGTTGCTAGGCTCCTCCCAGTGTCTTTCATCATGTTGCTATGCGGTTGCTAGGCGTTTTCTTCCTGTCTGGTGTAAAAAATAGTCTGAGTGTTCTTCTGGTCCAGCAGGAGAAATGTTCTCGTCTCTCATTTGTTCACTAGATGTTGCAGTGTTCCTAGTTTTGTTAAATTATTTATGAGCAGGTTATCAGGGAAATCTCATTAATAGGTCTTTACACATTTATACACGCTTACATTCTAAGGAACAAAGATATTGCTTGACAAAATCATCCGTGTTTGTTGCTCCAACAGAGTAAGATGTTAAAATACTCAAATGAAACAATGTTACGGGTTGCTCTTTCAAAGCTCTGTAAATGTAGCAACTTTCAGATGTTTCTCCTAAATGCTTAAATGCTTAAATGCTCAGATCATTTAATCTGGGTGGAATTTGATGAGAAATGTTTCAGTTTACAGACTTTAATATCTTGCCGAATCTGAGCACAGTTTGAGCCGCTGTTCAGATCTCTTCTGGAACTGGATTGGGATGGGATTGTTGGGATGTTTTTCTCAAGGGAAAATCTGTAAAGCAGGAGCAAAAGTCTCCACTTAATCTGTGTTTCTCAACTGGTGGGTCATGACCAATAAATGTGCCACAGGTCTGATCTGAAACCATGATGAACGCAAACGAGAACACGCAACTAGTAAAGCAAACAGACTTATCAGGAAACACTTCCCGTATCTTCTGTGGCTGATGCCAAAGGTTGTGTTTCCAATCAAACCCTCCTCCACTAGTTCAGCACAAATGCATGTGCTAGAAACTGAATTCAAGTGATGTTTAAAAACCAGACACATTTGGTACAGTGTTGAACGCCACTTGATGACCAATGTGAAATCAGAGTCCTAGAGCAAAACCAGTTGAGAATCAACAATCCCAGAAAAACAATTGAGATTTTAAATAGTTTTGTGATTTCCTTTCCTATAGGATCAGATCTGGAATTACAGCTGCCAGAGCTTTTGCCAAAATCTCATTACATAAGATGATAAAGCTCTCGGTACGCACATCATTCATATACATTTGTCTTTGTAAAAAATTGCATTCATGTTCTTCATATCTCGTCATAATTTCATATTATGGCTTCATATTGCAATGCATAAAATATATGTATGTATAATGTTTGTGTTAATCTGTAGTCATTGCAATTTGCAATTTTGAAACAGAAGTGCATGACATGCTTTTAGTTTGAAATAAGACCTCGTAGGCAAAAACGTTTGTTAAACACAAAATGTTTTTATTTCCTGTTTCCATTTTTCATTTATAAT